CCCCCGAATGCTGATAATCGATGGGAGTTTGACACACGCGCTATCACATGAGCTATTTTGTCCATGCGTTTATCTTTTTTATAGTAAAATATATATTTTTTTTATACATTTTTAAGCCCACCAATTATTTAAACTATTTTTTCGTGCCAAATCTATAAAAAAAAAAATCGGAACAACATTATTTTGGCTATAACTTTTTAGATGGATAAAGACAACAATAAATTAATCAAATTTTACATATTGGTTAGGAAAAAAAAAAAGGAATACATAGATAGAACATAATCTTATTGCAAATACATAGTTAGAATATATACTCATTGCATTTAAAAAAAATATAAATATGTTGTTGAAACTCCATATTTTAGCTAAAAAAATTTGGCTAAAAATAATAAAATTTCAATCAAGTATTTTATGAATTTGACCCGAAAAAAATAATGAATAATATACATAAGTTGTCATTGCATGAAAAGAAAACCACACAATACTTTTTCCTTTTTTTTATAGAAAATACATTGTTTAAACTTCATTACTTTGGTTAAACCTTCTTTATATTTGGCTAAAAAAATAAAGTTTCAACTAATTTTTGTAGATTTGGAACGAAAATAAATTTATAATTGAAATAAATATTCATTGTATCTAAAAACACAATTAAGATAGAAAATATGCAATATGTAATAAGAAGAAACAACGACAAATACAAGTGGAACAAATAAATCATTATATTTAATTATGTGGCAAGTAATATTAGAAAAATACCTCACTTAAAAACTAATTTTCGATTTTTTCCATCCCACGCATCTAAAAGAGAGTGCTATCTAAAAGAGAGTGCTATTTACTATATCAGCGTGTAGCGGAGTCGAGGTTATCAAATTTTTTAAGTTCAGGGAATATTAAGTAAAAATGGCGTGTAGTAGCCACTAATTAAGGGTGTCTTTAATTTTTATCCACTAATTATAATGCTCAGCAAAAATAGCCACTACTAATAGAAAAAAGACAATTTTACCCTTTCTTCCTCTCTTTCGCGTTGCATTTTCATCTGGAATACCCAAGGCGATTTCACGGTCGGCCTCCTCCATGCTTGGTCAATAGCATCAGGTCTATTAGTGACCCCAATTACTAGGACATAACTAGGTCCATCATGAGATCCTTCTGATTTTGCTTCACTATTCCTTTTACCAATACGTACCGTAGTTCCTTTTGCATCATCAAAATTTTCAAGTTCTAAATTTTTGAGCAGATGTCTCAATTACGTACAGTAATTTCTTTCTTCTTACCTTGTTTTTGTTTCTTTTGAGTTCAAAGATTAAAAGTTAAGGACATGAGTCTTTAAGTTTGACATCCAGGTTTAAAAGTTAAGGACATGCATTCCTTAAATTTGACATGTAGGTTCAAAAGATAAGGACAAACAATCCTTAACTTATAGTTTCAAGTTCAAAACTTAAGGATAGTCAGTATTTAAGTTATTGTTTCAAGTTCAAAACTTAAGGACTTTCTGTCCTTAACTTTGAGTTTCAGTTTCAAAAGTTAAGGACAGGCAGTCCTTAACTTATAGTTTCAAGTTCAAAACTTAAGGACGTGCAGTCCTTAAGTTATTGTTTCAAGTTCAAAACTTAAGGACTTTCTGTCCTTAACTTTGAGTTTCAGTTTCAAAAGTTAAGGACAGACAGTCCTTAACTTATAGTTTCAAGTTCAAACTTAAGGACGTGCAGTCCTTAAGTTATTGTTTCAAGTTCAAAACTTAAGGACATGCAGTCCTTAACTTTGAGTTTAAAGTTCAAAAGTTAAGGACAGACAGTCCTTAACTTACAGTTACACGTTCAAAAGTTAAGGACAAGCAGTACTTAACTTACGGTTACAAGTTCAAAAGTTAAGGACAATAGGTCCTTAACTTTGACTTACAAGTTCAAAAGTTAAGGACGCCTGGTCTTGAAGTTTGAGTTCCAAGTTCAAAACTTAAGGACATGTAACCTTGAAGTCCTGAACTTAGAGTTCCAAGTTCAAAAGTTAAAGACATGTAGTCCTGAAGTCCCGAACTTAGAGTTTCAAGTTCAAAAGTTAAGGACATGTAGTCCTGAAGTCCTGAAGTTAAGGACATGAGCAGAAGGGTATTTTTGTCCGAGCAGTTAAAGTTTATTAAACCAGTGGCTAAAGACTAAAGATATTTAAAACGCTGGCTTTAAAATAAAGACATAAGCTGTTAGTGGCTATCTGTGCACATCGCCCGAATATTAAAGACCCATAAAATTTAAGGAAGAACTAAACAAAAATTGCCAAAGTTTAGAAAATCCCGAACTTAGAGTTCCAAGTTCAAAAGTTAAAGACATGTAGTCCTGAAGTCCCGAACTTAGAGTTTCAAGTTCAAAAGTTAAGGACATGTAGTCCTGAAGTTAAGGACATGAGCAGAAGGGTATTTTTGTCCGAGCAGTTAAAGTTTATTAAACCAGTGGCTAAAGACTAAAGATATTTAAAACGCTGGCTTTAAAATAAAGACATAAGCTGTTAGTGGCTATCTGTGCACATCGCCCGAATATTAAAGACCCATAAAATTTAAGGAAGAACTAAACAAAAATTGCCAAAGTTTAGAAAATCCCGAATATTTCTGCCTATTTTCTTCCCTGTCCCTAGTCAAATGAAACATAGGGAATACTACTTAATTATTTATGTCCAATCATAAATAATCGAAGGGTTAAAAAGACAAAATAAAGGCTGCAATCAACTGGCCCACTTTCCATTTTCTTTAGACTTTGTGACCACCCATATTGTAGATGGTGATGTATTACCACATGGGTCTCATCGTGGGAATTGCAATAGAGTACAAATTAAGCACACAAAATTCCAAATAAAATAAAAAAGAGAATTTTAAAAAAAAATTGACGTGTAAAAAAGATTTAAATTAAAAAAAGGAAAAAAGGCTTTCCACTAACTTATAATAACTTCAATGACAATAATACCCTCATTTGTTTGTCAAATTTTACAACACAAACAAACCCCCACCCCACATCATTCATTCTCCACATCCACCCTACCTAAACCACCCACCCCCGTAACCCCCTCCCCCTTCATACCTTGACGAGTTTCGCAGCTCTTACTACTGGATTTTCTTTAGCAATAGCTTCACGACCAGCTGCTTTATAATCGTAACTACAACTGTGCCGATCGGAATACCGATGCTCGTAGCAAAATACCTCGCCGCACCGGCACCGGAATCCGATCAATCCGACTTTCCTCCGGCAATCAATTCCCGAGCACCGATTAGCTTCCTCCCTCGGCCTCTTCACCGATCGCCTGTTATTATCCTCGACGGCGGGCTTTTTCTCTGGCTGCGGCTGAGAAACTAGATCGGATCTAGGTCTTGACCCGTTGAAGTTAGGTAGTTTCGGATCTGATGCACGGGTCGGGTCGTCGGTACCCGTAATAGTCGGAGTACGTAAAGGTATGGTTTCTGGAACCTTCAACTCCGTCTCTTCTTTCTCTCTCTTCTGCGCCATGTTTGCTTTCTAGAGAGAAAAATTGAGTAATTTTTGATTTATTGAGTTGATGAGCTGAAATGGAAATGATGGGGAAATGGGGAGGAGGAGATAAGGGAGTGTTTGGATGACGGGGGGTTTTGAGAGAGAGAAATGAAAGTTAAGAGAGTATTTTAAAAGGGGGGATTTTTTATTATTTTAATATTAAAGATAAGTCGGTAAAGGGTAGGGGAATATGGGCCTCAATGGAACAAGCATCATACGTTTCTTTTTGTGGAGATAGAAGTGACACTTATGCCCCTATGAAATGAATTATATGACGGTAGTATCCATAAAGCTATCAGCCCTGACGTGTTGCTTCGTAGACAGAGGTAAAGATCGGGATGTCCTTTTTTTGGCCATTCAACACAACATGAGCCACAAACGATCTGCCAAAACCAAGAAAAAATATTTTGTCCTATTAATAAAAGAAACAGTTTTGGCTTAAAAAGTCAAACAAAAATGTTTTCCAGAAACAATTTAACAGTTGTTTGTTACGAAAACTAAAACAAATGTTCTACAAAAATAAATTAATTATATGAATTTATAATTACTTCTGAGCAAAACTGTTTTATGAAAACTTTTTCAAGACCTAGCGTTTCACTAGTTGAACCAAACCCCAATTAATATTGTCAAAACAGTGAAATAAATCAGAGAGGGAAGCTCGTCAATGGAGGTTAGGGCTTTCTACCGAGTTCTTCATCAGAGAACAATCGAAGAGAGAGAATGAAACTAATCGGCCAACAGATGCGGCCTCTTCTATTTATATCTTGTTTATATAATGTAAAACTAGCTAACCACTAAATGAATAACTACTATAATATATTAACAAAGAATGGCTAACTAGTACAAAAGGACTAAATATAACATAAATAGTCGGGCCAACTTAAGTATGCTGCTTTGGTGGCCAACACCCTCCTTCAAGTTGGAGGGGGAAACAACCTTCAACTTGCCAAGAAAAGTGTGATGGAGAACCCCAGGTAGTGGCTTGGTGAATACATCTGCCAGCTGATCAGAGGTAGGAACATGCAACAACTGGATGAATCCTTCAGTCAATTTACTCCGGATAAAGTGACGGTCCACCTCAATATGTTAGTACAACAACAACAACAATAACGGCCCAGTATAATCCCACAAGTAGGGTCTGGGGAGGGTAATATGTACGTAGACCTTACCCCTACCCCGAGGGGCAGAGAGACTGTTTCCAGGAGACCCTCGGCTCAAGAAAGCAACAAGAGACGATATATTAGTACCATCAATAGAATCATAATAAAATAACAACAATATAAGAAATACGAAATAGATGGAAGGTATAATAATAACCAGTAGATAAAGCCCTGCATCAGTAGATGACCACTAGCATCTTAAAACTAACTCCTAACTGGCTAGTCTTACTCTAGTGCACTGTAGAAATATTCACAACTTCCCTCTAACCTACAACCTTAATGCTCGACCTCCACAATTCCCTGTCAAGGACCATGTCCTCAGTAATCCTAAGTCGCGCCATGTCCTGCCTGATCACCTCTCCCCAATTCTTCTTAGGTGGCCCTTTGCCTCTCTTCGTGCCCACCACAGCCAGTCACTCACACCTCCTCACCGGTGCATCGGTGCTCCTCCTCTGAATGTGCCCGAACCATCTGAGTCTTGATTCCCGCATTTTGTCCTCTTGGGGGCCACTCCCACCTTCTCTTGAATATCTTCATTCCTAATCTTATCCATCCTTGTATGCCCGCATGTTGCGGCCAAACGCACACGCAAGTATACGCGGTCGTCAAGTAATAAAGTGACAAAAAGTCGGATGTCGAACCCACGAGGACTTGTGATTAACTATCAACTAAATTAGACTATCTTAATTATCTAAACAAGAATTAAACCTAGAAGTATTTGATTCTAAACTAATTAAATAATGAAATATAAATAATGACCTTTGAACAGAAAAAGAGAAGATTTTTATGATATTAATGTAATGAAAACGATATAGGGTTATGGGCTATCTAATATTCCTATTGTATTCTTCAATTGAATTGACTAACTAATTTATCTAGTTTATTGGTTAACAGGGTTAATATTGCTCATAAGAATCTGTCGAGTTCTTACTCGCCTATTCAAGCTAACCTAACGCCTATATGTCTATGGAGTTAGAATCAACAAGAACGCATTTATAATTCCTGTAAATCAACCAAGCAAGGCAATTAGGTATATGTCTATCCTAACCGTGAATCCGTTACCCGATGCCCAGGTTCAAGAACTTGCTCTACTCAATCCTATATGCAATCTAGAATTCCCACTTTCGAGTTCAACTCTAGATTCGTAGATAGTATTCAATTGGTGATCAAGCAATCAAATAATTAAGTGCAGGATTGAATAAATAAACTAATACGATAAATCAAGAAATCAAAATCAATATCCCAATAACAATAGTCATGAAAGAACCACAACCCTAGAACGTGAAGTTTAGCTCCACATAGACATGGTAGCAAAACAACAAATCATACGAAGAAACATAAAAATTACTAAGTTTGATGGAAGAAAGATGAAACTTGATGAATTCCGGCCTCCACGGCGGCTCTGTGCTTGTGTTTTACTCTCAAAAAACGTTCTCCTCTGCCTTCTTAGGTCTAAATTATCTCAAAAGTGTGTCCCACCTCCTCAAAATACCGTTTTCCATGTATATATACCAAGTAGGGTTGTGCCCAAACAATTATACCTTCTCCAATGTGAAAAAGGACACTTTTCCCGGGTTTGACTAGCGCGGCCGCGCTAGTGGCCCAATGTTTTGCCTGACGAGCGCGGCCTAAGCGCGACCGCGCTATTAACGCGCATTTTTCACCCTGTTTCGCTTAGAATTTGGAAAACCGTAAAACATGAATGTTGTAGCCCTTTGAGTTAGCTTTCCAACCATATATTGTGGAGCCCAAATGGGGTTATGAGCAAAAAGTTATATCCATTTTACTAGACAGTGCGCAATATGCCTACTCGATTCTTCGTTTGTTCTTAACTATCAAAGTTGACCCCTGACATGATCCCGGCTTAATCCCTTGGGCTTTTACTCAGACTTCAAAGCTCCAAATCACTTGAATTCATTCCATAACATCTATATAGCTCGGAATCACTCCTACAAGGCATAAAACACACCGTTAGTGCAAAACACTAGCGATTAAAACGCAAACTCAACTAAAGTGCAGTAAACTAGAGTGTAATAAGCGACTAAAATACGTAATTATAGCCTATCATCACCGCACATCCACCTCAACATCCTCATCTCTGCTACTTTCATCTTCTGGATGTGTGAGTTCTTAACCGGCCAACACTCAGTCCCATACAACATGGCAGGCCTAACCACTGCTCTATAAAACTTACCTTTTAGTAACGGTGGCACTTTCTTGTCACACAGGACTCCCGAAGCTAACCTCCACTTCATCCACCCCACCCCTATACGGTGTGTGACATCCTCGTCGATCTCCCCGATTCCCTGAATAACCGACCCAAGGTAATTGAAACTACCCCTCTTGGGAATGACTTGAGAGTCAAGCCTCACGTCCACTCCCGCTTCTGTCGGCTCGACCCCAAATTTGCCTTCGTGGTATTCCGTCTTCGTCCTGCTCAACTTGAAATCTTTAGACTCAAGGGCTTGTCTCCAAACTTCTAGCCTCTCGTTGGCGCCGCCTCGTGTCTCGTCAATTAGAACTATGTCATCAGCAAATAGCATGCACCATGGCACCTCCCCTTAAATATGATGAGTTAGTGCATCCATCACCAGGGCAAATAGGAATGGGCTGAACGCAGACATTTGGTGCAACCCCATAACAACCGGAAAATGCTCGGAGTCGCCTCCTACTGTCCTAACTCGAGTCTTAGCTCCATCATACATGTCTTTAATCACCCTAATGTAGGCAACCAGAACCCCTTTAGCCTTCAAGCAGATCCATAAGACCTCCCTAGGAACCCTGTCATACGCTTTCTCCAGATCAATAAACACCATGTGGAGATCCTTCTTCCTATCCTTGTATTGTTCCACCATCCTCCTAATAAGGTGGATAGCTTCCGTGGTAGATCGCCCCGGCATGAAACCGAACTGGTTGTCTGAAATAGACACCGTCCTTCGCACTCTCATTTCTACCACTCTCTCCCAAACTTTCATGGTATGACTCAGTAATTTGATACCCCTATAGTTGTTACAGTTCCGGATATCGCCTTTGTTCTTATACAACAGACACCTCAATATGTTTAATGCGCTCATGAAATACATGATTTTTAGTAATGTAAATAGCTGCCATATTGTCACAGAAGATAGAGATAGGAAAGCAAACATCAATAGTAAGATCATGCAATAATCTGGACAGCCAGACCAATTCAGCAACAGCCTTACTAACAGCTCTATACTCCGCTTCAGCGGAAGAAAGAGAAATCGCAAGCTGTTTCTTCACTTCCAACCAACAAGGTTATCACCCAAGAAAATGCAAAAACCAAAAGCAGATTTGCGAGTGTCAGGGCAAGCTGCCAAATCACTGTCAGAGTAAGCCTTGATAGAAAATTCAGTAGAGTTAGAGTAAAAAAGACCAAGGCCAGGAGTACCCTTGAGATACCTAAGCAAATGAAGAGCAGTAATCATGTGAGGAAGTCTGGGAGCCTACATAAACTGGCTCAGATGTTGAACACTAAAGCAAATATCAGTGTGAGTCAAGAACAGTAACTTCCCCACAAAGGCTTATGGATTCTCAAGATTAGGTAGGAGATCCCCAACATCAGCTTTAAGCTTCTGATTCAGTTCCAATGGGCTATCAACAAAATGAACATCCAAGCAATTATAGTCTTTATGTAAATCAGAAGTAAACTTCTTCTAATTTAAGACAACACCATCTGGTAATACAGTAACCTCAATTCCCAAAAATTAATGAAGAAAACCCAAGTCTTTGATCTTAAATTCAGAGTCTAGAAATTGTTTTAAAGCTGAAATCTCATGTAAATCATCACCAGTGAGGATGATATCATCAACATAAATAGCGAGGATAACTAGATGACCAGGAGACCTTTTGATAAAGAGAGAGTAATCATTGAGTTAAATGATGAAACCTTTAGAATAAAGGGCTTAAGACAATTTGGCATACCACTGCCTCGAAGCTTGTCTAAGC